GTAAACTTGAAAGAAAAGGGATAGAGGGGAAGCTAAAGAGGAAGAAATGACTGCTATCAAGAAGGAATAGTGTTTTCACCACTCATAAAAGGTCAAATACTGGGATATAAACCTATGGTCCTATGGTTGGCCCTCTCAATGACAGCTCCCCTCTACCGCTAGCTCCAGCTATGCTTTTGTTGGCATAGGTACGAGGTGATCTGCTGCCCTGCGATACAAACCAATTCTAGAATAAGAAAGAAGTTAAATTTAGAGCGGATAGTCAGGCTTGTCAACGTCTTCGTAGGGGATTTACCCCAAAATGGATCTTAGAGACCATTTCCCTATTTGACGCTGGTCAGATTCTTTTCTCTCAAATCAGGTCCCATGAATGAGGGCTTTGGGCTTACGAACTATTACGGAAAGTGAAAACGTTGTAGCAAAAAGTTGGTAGTGTATGAATGTCATCCGAATAGCCGAGAACTTCTACTCAAGAATCAAATTTCCAGATCGGAAGCTAATGATCTAGCTCTTCGTCTTGCTCGAGATTACACTGGACATACCGATGCCATCGTCATCGACCAGTAAGTTGTTTTTGGTCCTGACAGGGCCTTATTTTTGAGTTCACTACTCAAAAACAATATTTTAGTGCCTACCATGGCCATGTAACAACGACGATGCAAATGTCACCGTACAAGTTCGATCACGGTTCGACGTTGCCTCAACCTGAATGGGTCCACGTGGTACGTGAATTTTCGTCACAATTCCCGTGAGACGTAATCTTACGGTCAAAGCGAAATTTGCTGCTTTTAGGCTCCTTGCCCTGATGTATATCGAGGTGAATATCGGCTAGCTGATAATGAATTGAACGATCCAGAAAAGCTCGAAAAGGCTGGGGTCTACTACTCAGATGCGGTGAACCATCTGATTGACAAGGTTAGACTCAGATGTTCCTAGTGCTGGCCGTAACCTCTGAAATGTCAGAAGTACTGAAGTGTAGCAATTTCTTGGTTCAGGCAGAAGCTAACGGGCGCACCGTGGCCGCTTATTTCGCCGAAGCCCTTCAATCCTGTGGTGGGCAGGTCATCCCACCTCCCGGCTACTTCTGCGACGTAGCAAGGTAATCGATATATCGATCGATATGCCAATCAATCATCGACAAATCTCAATAATCTCTTTTTCAAGGCATGTTCGTAACCACGGTGGCCTCGTTGTCATCGATGAAGTTCAGACAGGATTCGGTCGGGTCGGATCAAAGTTCTGGGCTCATCAGTTATTCGATGATGGTTAGTTCATCCCCACGGTCTGAATTATCGACCCTTGGTCGGTCTAAATTATCGATCAGTTACTGAAGTAAGGTTTACAGGTTTCTGTCCGGATATCGTGACTATGGGTAAACCAATGGGTAACGGTTTCCCAGTATCAGCAGTAGCGACAACAAGGAAAATTGCTGACGCATTGGGAGGACAAGTTGGATACTTCAACACTGTAAGAGATCTACAACTGTAGATGTAATAGACCATTTTTGATGCAGTATGTTGTTTTAGTACGGAGGAAATCCAGTGGCTTGTGCAGCCGTTTTGGGTGTGATGCGAGTGATTCGGGAAGAGAATCTCTTGAAACATAGTCAAGAAATGGGCGAGGAATTCGAGAAACAACTGAACCAGCTGAAAAAGAAGTACCAATGTATAGGAGACGTTAGGTGAGTATGAGGCATTCAAGTCTTTTCAAAACAAGCTATTTCGTTGGATGCGCCACGCATTCGGATTCTCAATAGTGTACCAAATCCATTTCACTCCTAAATCATACGCTCGATGAACGCTTGTGTAAGGGTGACTTTTCTGTGAATGTTGTTCATGCCACTTAGGGTCAAAAGGAAAAATCAAACCATTCTACAAGAATTTGTTCAAGATGAAGAGTTGTCAACGAGCTCAGGTCCTTTCAGAAATAATTTTACTGCGATAGGTTTTGTGGGAGCAACACTTCCTACCAGGCAACTGATCTAAATATTTTTGTTTCCTTCCAATTTTCCATAATTGGTCATTGATTTTGTGCAAAACGTTCTAATTTTGTTTTTCAGAGGTGTTGGCCTTTTCTGGGGAATCGATCTGGTGAAGGACCGTCAAACGCGAGAACCTGATCAGGAATTGGCGTTGGCGTTGATACTGAAACTGCGACGGGAACGTGGTATACTTCTAAACGCTGATGGTCCTCACACGAATATCCTCAAAATCAAGCCTCCTCTTTGCTTCGATAAGCAAAACTTGATGGATGTAAGTTTTTTTAGGTTTTAGTAGGGTAGACCGAGGCTCCAAGTTTCTCTAACTGGTTGAATAGTCTGTAATGTAGTAGTTTGGGTAGGTGTCTGGCAACAATGGGGAAGCAGAAAGGGAGAGGAATAATAAAAAGTTAGGGTTCAAACAGGAATCTCATAAATATGTGATTAGATGAAGCTCTAATTCCGCTGAATTTCAGACCATCAATGCTTTGGATCGGACGTTAGCTGAGATGGGCAAGTAGTGTAGCTTAGGCGGCTATCGGCTGTCAATCGGTCTCAGGAATTTTTATGTCTTCTGTGAAGACATCCCTTGTGTATTGATGTGCATATTGACCATATACAACTGTTTTGTTTACAAAACAACTGACATAAACATTTACATGATTTAAATCTGTTTGAAAAGCACATAAACCTGCACAGAACACAGCAGTAATACCCGATTTCATGGAAACAGCAAGAGCGATTCAATGCTATACATATAGGAAAATGATGATAAAGCCATAGAAAGAGCACGTGGTCAATAACCTGCAGTTCAATGGAATTTTCGATAGCTGATCGATCAATAAGGTTTTATAAGTAAAATCGAGTTTTCGCATAGATCGTTCGATCAATATTCATCTAAGCCAAAAAGAAAATTCGAAGCTAAAGTGAGGCTGTAGCAATTACATGTTACTATGAATTCGATTAGAAGTGGAATGCATGGCGCATTCTAAAACTTGACTTTTCCGCTCTAAGATTTTTGGACGGCATCATTGACTACCACTAAGGCAGAAAGACTCGATTATCCCCTACCGTAATTCGGTGAAATTACGGTAGTGAAGGATTAGCAGCATTTTCTGCAGAACCATTTTGGATGTCGTATACTTGCTAGTGAACTAATGGCTTAGTGACTACGATTGACAACGTTAGAACTCTCCTCAGTAGATCGGTCTCATATGGCACCATTAGTCTAGAGGCATCCGTAGCATCAAGGCGATCTTCTTTCTAAGAAGATCCTCTCCATAGAATACCCTGCTTCTCAGTGAGATTCTCTGCTTCGCGTAGCAGCAAGCGGTCGTCGTTCGCTTCTTACACTATGACGCATTGATAACGATGTTGAGACAGGTGAATGCCGGACTCTGAAAAGATAGAAGATCACTTCAGCTTCCCATGTTATGGAGGAGTTGAGTTGTGAGTGCAGGCGGAAGGAACTGAGGTGGATCAGAGGCAAATGGCTGGTGAGAAGCCCTCTGTTATTCACCTCAGATCATCTGACCCACATTCTCGGCCCATACTGGCATACGTTAACAACTTTAACACAACTGTTCAGTTTATTAATAATTCGTGATAAGACATTTTGGGTATGAATTCTGCAAAAATATCGAAGCAGCTGTCTATTCTCTAATACGCAGTGTCTTCGGCTGCAAGCTGTGATCATAGATACAATTGAAGCGCATCGAGCTGTTACAAAGCTGGGATCAACTCATATAAGATTTATTTGCTATAGAACACGTGCCTATCGTGATTAATATTTCAAAAGGGTGGTTTGAATGTTTTGGCTCAGTTTCACCCGAATCCAGAATTTATTTTTGGTGCATGAAGAAATTATGGAGAGGATAAGTCGAAGTAAGGAGTAATGCAGTGCCCAATAGCGTCTCATAGCGATGACGAGGTCTGTGTAGACTTTGAGTCCTTGCTTTCGATGGATTTGGACACCTTCTAATCACGTTCCTCGTAAGAAAGTCGATATAAGACATTCTTAGAGAAAAGACTTCCATGAAAAGCAAAACGTCCCTCAGAATATTCCGTTCCTCGTTTTCGGAGCCATCAGCTTCGCTACAAATGAGCAGCCCCATTGTTTGATATCGAAATTGAGGTCTCAAAAGGACTTGTGCTCTTCTCGTTGAATACTACTTGTTTCAAATTTTTCTCGGAACTCATTATGGTGTCTCCCTCGAGTGGCAGACAAAAAAAACCTCTGTGGGTTTATAAGCCTGTTAGCTTTGAGCCATCGGTTTTCTTTCAAGGTTTGACATTTGACTAAGACAGAAAAATCGGTGACGAGTACAATCACCATCCTGTACAACTGACTAGGGCGTACGTCTCGTACCGTATTCTCCGCATACCGTACTTATTTTCAACCCACTTTCCCCAAAAAACGATTTTCGCCAATGAAAAACATGAAAAAATGGCCATGGACCAGAACAATTGTGAAAATGTATGCTTCATTCTGAATAAAATTGGCCATAATGTCGAAAAGGGAACTTTCTCAGCATGTGCGAGCCCTCAGACTTTTGCTTCGTCCCTTTTGTGCTAGATAGAATCTCCATGAATAATGACGTCTTCAAGGAGATTTGTAAAAAAAACTTGAAGAAACCCAGCACTTTAACAAACGAGGCCAATTTAAGGTCTACTCCATACAATTATCTTTCGTTTTGAGCGTTTTACCGAGAGGCAATTAGAGTTCAGAGCGTTGTTTAAATTCATGCATTCATCGTTCACAAAAAGCTGATTCTACTTTTATTCACTTTGTGTCGAAGTTCTTACTTATCTTTAGCGTTTGATCACCGCCTTCAGCTTCATGCAAGGTCTCTTGGAATGAAATTCAGTAAAGTAAAATAAAATAAGTAATGGCCAGCAAAATAATATTAAATATCGATAATAAAATACAACCCCAAAGCAGAATAAGCATATTTCGTGCTTAGGCTCATCCGCAAACAAGTCCGAAAAAAGGAAAAGAAGACCATCAGCAAAAACTCTAAAGAAACTGCCAACGCGCAGCTTATCTATTTACTTATCGAATTTTTATCTTGTCCAGGGACATAGTGAACAAACCAAAACGTGTGTCATCGGCGATGCAGTTAGCGGGTGACGGCGAGCTCCCCCACCTTTTTTGGGCCCAGAATGAAGCCCTATTCAAATGAAAAAGGCTATTGTGGAAAACATTTTAAGCTCCAAAAGATTTCAAAGCCAGTGATGGCGAAAGCCGTCGAAAAGCCGAGCAGAGTAGGCGGGTCAGAAGCAATCACTGCGAATACGCTGGACGCATTCATTAAAACTGCTCAGAACAAAGAGGCTTTGCGTTTTCGCACTAGTATCAGGTAGTTGAACAGATAAAATGATTAGAAAGATGAAAACTTGTGGCAGGGATTCGAATATAATTATAAGTTATAGTATATTGACAGAATTTCCGGCCTTATCACTTTCAATCAACTATTTCAGGCTTTTTTGCACAATTCATATCACCACTTTTTATTTATTTATTTTGATACATTTTTTATTTTTATTATTTATTTATTTATTTTGATTCGTTTTTTATTTTTATTAGTTTATCGTATTATCATTCCTACTCAAAAATTTCTGTAACTCATTAATTTATCGTATCTCTTACCTGTCACATGATTTCATGTCTGAGTGGAGGGCCGAAATGTACAATGAGACTAATGGGAATTGGCAAAGGTAGAGTAGATAGAGCACCGCATCCATATACAAGTATGTCAAAAGGCCAGTTGGGGTCGATCTGAAAAATTCTGGACTAAAACCTGGTTGTAGAATATTGCACAAATACTTTCCCTCGCTCCTTCACGGTAATTCATTAGTTCTGTTAAGGACAGAGTAGCGCCAGTCTACGCCTAGTATAAATGCTCTTATTGATTGTCACCCGTGTCAAATATACGTACTTGCATACTTTCTTCTGATTATAATTGCTTCGTTTACAAAAAATAACTGAGAACTTACTGTAACGAGTAGACCTCGTCTATTAGCTGTAACGTGTAGTATGGGGTGTTTAGGATCATTTGTACAGTAGCCATAAACAGACACCTTCGTATGGCACGTTGTCGTCGTAGATGTGTCAACTGTAAGAAGAAATTTTGACTCTTGGCCAAATGTTTGAGGCTAATTGCTGAGACCAAATTTTCCTGAACCATACGCGCGCAGTTGCGTTGCGTTGCTCGAGTTATTGATTACGGCGCAGCGCAAACGCGCGCTTCACACCCCATCACTTTTGCTGAACTTGTCAGCATTGCTATCTGCTGTTTATGTTTACCAATTTTATTCGGCCTAACGAGTAAATAGTTTGGGCCAACAAAAGATCCTTATAAAGAAGAAATCGAATCGCTACCGATTTTGCTTGAGTTTGAAATAACTTTTGACATTTTCAATGAGTTCAGTAGTGGTAAAAACATTTCTTGGCAATGCATTTGAGAAAGGAAAGTTGCAAATCTCAAGAAATACTTACCCGAATGCTCTCCCTGGATTGGATCTTGAGCCCCTCTACAGGTTCGTGATAGATGCCCTGCGTGTGATGTTTTGAAACGGAGTCGCTCGATAATACTGTGAATCTGAAAATATTCAATTTCACTTAAATTTAGATCTTTTTTTCAAAACCGTAGATTAGGTACAGATGGAAGATACATAGTAACTTGCTCAGCTAAAGCACCCATGGCCTAGAAATTTTGAACTTTTGATAGTATTCTGCATAAAACGTCAAGCTTCCCATTATTCTTGAGTCGTTTGGAAGCTTCTTAGTGTTTCAATAGGAAACACACCGGGTCTTCCATAGGCTATCCCCAAAGCCAATGTTTAGGTAAGATACGCTTCTAAATGACACAACTCATAAATTTCGAGTGTGTAAGGAGTACATGGCGCAACTCAAATATGGATTTATCACCAGTAAGTTCTAACCATGTGAGTAAACTTACTTGTTGCTATTATTGTGGCAACAAACCACGAG